ATACAGTTTCTTCTCAAGTGTGCACGGAACATTCTCCAGGAGAGATCATATCTTGGGTCACAAATCAAGCCTTGGTAAATTTAAGATAATTGAAATTGAAATTGTATCAAGTATCTTTTCCGACTGCAGTGCTATAAGACTAGATATCAATTACAGGAAAAAATCTGTAAAAAATACAAACACATGGAGGCTAAACAATACACTACTTAATAACCAAGAGATCACTGAAGAAATCAAAGAGGAAATCAAAAAATACCTAGGAACAAATGACAATGAAAACATGACAACCTAAAACCAATGGGATGCAGCAAAAGCAGTTCTAAGAGGGAAGTTTATAGCAATACAATCCTACCTCAAGAAACAAGAAACATCTCAAACAACCTAACCTTACACCTAAAGCAATTAGAGAAAGAAGTACAAAAAAAATCCCAAAGTTAGCAGAAGAAAAGGAATCATAAACATCAGATCAGAAATAAATGAAATAGAAACAAAGAAAACAATAGCAAAGATCAATAAAATTAAAAGCTGGTTCTTCGAAAAGGTAAACAAAATTGATAAACCATTAGCCAGGCTCATCAAGAAAAAAAGGGAGAAGACTCAAATCAATAGAATTAGAAATGAAAAAGGAGAAGTAACAACTGACACTGCAGAAATACAGAGGATCATGAGAGTTTACCACAAGCGACTACATGCCAATAAAATGGACAACCCTGAAGAAATGGACAAATTCTTAGAAAAGCACAACCTTCCAAGACTGAACCAGGAAGAAATAGCAAATATAAACAGACCAATCACAAGCACTGAAACTGAGACTGTGATTAAAAATCTTCCAAAAAACAAAAGCCCAGGACCAAATGGCTTCACAGGCGAATTCTATGAAATATTTAGAGAAGACCTAACACCTATCCTTCTGAAACTCTTCCAAAATATAGCAGAGGGAGGAACACTCCCAATCTCATTCTACGAGGCCACCATCACCCTATTACCAAAACCAGTCAAAGATGTCACAAAGAAAGAAAACAACAGGCCAATATCACTGATGAACACAGATGCAAAAATCCTCAACAAAATACTAGCAAACAGAATCCAACAACACATTAAAAGGATCATAAACCATGATCAAGTGGGGTTTATCCCAGGAATGCAAGGATTCTTCAATATATGCAAATCAAGTGTGATAACCCATATTAACAAATTGAAGGATAAAAGCCATATGATCATCTCAACAGATGCAGGAAAAGCTTTTGACAAAACTCAACACCCATTTATGATCAAAGCTCTCCAAAAAGTAGGCATAGAGGGAATTACCTCAACATAATAAAGGCCATATATGACAAACCCACAACAAACATCATTCTCAAAGGTGAAAAACTGAAAGCATTTCCTCTAAGATCAGGAACAAGACAAGGTTGCCCACTCTCACCGCTATTATTCACCATAGTTTTGGAAGTTTTAGCCACAGCAGTCAGAGAAGAAAAAGAAATCAAAGGAATCCAAATTGGAAAAGAAGAAGTAAAGCTATCACTGTTTGCAGATGACATGATACTATACATAGAGAATCCTAAAGATGCTACCAGAAAACTACTAGAGCTAATCAATGAATTTGGTAAAGTAGCAGGATACAAAATTAATGCACAGAAATCTCTTGCATTCCTATACACTAATGATGAAAAATCTGAAAGAGAAATTAAGAAAACACTCCTGTTGACCACTGCAACAAAAAGAATAAAATTCCTAGGAATAAACCTACCTAAGGAGACAAAAGACCTGTATGCAGAAAACTATAAGACATTGATGAAAGAAATCAAAGATGATACAAAGAGATGGAGAGATATACCATGTTCTTGGATTGGAGAATCAATATTGTGAAAATGACTGTACTATCCAAAGCATTCTACAGATTCAATGCAATCCCTATCAAACTACCAATGGCATTTTTCACAGAACTAGAAGAAAAAAATTCACAGTTTGTATGGAAACACAAAAGACCCCAAATAGCCAAAGCAATCTTGAGAAAGAAAAATGGATCTGGAGGAATCAGGCTCCCAGACTTCAGACTATACTATAAAGCTACAGTAATCAAGACAGTATGGTACTGGCACAAAAACAGAAATATAGATCAATGGAACAAGATAGAAAGCCCAGAGATTAACCCACGTACATATGGTCACCTTATTTTTGATAAAGGAGGCAAGAATATACAGTGGAGAAAAGACAGCCTCTTCAATAAGTGGTGCAGGGAAAACTGGACAGCTACATTTTAAAGAATGAAATTAGACCACTCCCTAACACCATACACAGAAATAAACTCAAAATGGATTAAAGACCTAAATTTAAGGCCAGACACTATAAAATTCTTAGAGGAAAACATAGGCAGAACACTCTATGACATAAATCACAGGAAGATTCTTTTGAAATACCTCCTAGAGAAATGGAAATAAAAACAAAAATAAACAAATGGGACCCAATGAAACTTAAAAGCTTTTTCACAGCAAAGGAAAACATAAACAAGTTGAAAAGGCAACCCTCAGAATGGGAGAAAATATTTGCAAATGAAGCAAATGACAAAGGATTAATTTCCAAAATTTACAAGCAGCTCATGCAGCTCAATATCAAAAAAACAAACAACCCAATCCAAAAATGGGCAGAACACCTAAATAGACATTTCTCCTAAGAAGATATACAGATTGCCAACAAACACATGAAAGGATGCTCAACATCACTAATCATTAGAGAAATGCAAATCAAAATTACAATGAGGTAATTATAAATTACCTTATACCAGTCAGAATGGCCATCATGAAAAAATCTACAAACAAAAAATGGTGGAGAGGGTGTGGAGATAAGGGAACCCTCTTGCACTGTTGGTGCAAATGTAAATTGATACAGCCACTATGGAGAACAGAATGAGGCTTCCTTAAAAAAGTAAAAATAGAAGTACCATATGACCCAGCAATCCCACTACTGGGCATATACCCTGCGAAAACCATAATTCAAAGAGTCATGTACCACAGTGTTCATTGCAGCTCTATTTACAATAGCCAGAACATGGAAGCAACCTAAGTGTCCATTGACAGGTGAATGGATAAAGAAGATGTGGCACATATGTGTAGTGGAATATTACTCAGCCATAAAAAGAAACGAAACTGAGTTATTTATAGTGAGGTGGATGGACCTAGAGTCATTCATACAGAGTGAAGTAAGTCAGAAAGAGAAAAGCAAATACCGTATGCTAACACATATATATGGAACCTAAAAAAAAAAAAAAAAGAATCTACATTCTTTTAAATGTAGCTGTCCAGTTTTTTTTCAAATCTAAAAAAAAAAAAAATGTTCTGAAGTACCTAGGGTCAGGACAGGAATAATGACACAGTCGTAGAGAATGGACTTGAGGACATGGGGAGGGGGAAGCGTAAGCTGGGACAAAGTGAGAGAGTGGTATGGACATATATACACTACCAAATGTAAAACAGTCAGCTAGTGGGAAGTAGCCGCATAGCACAGGGAGATCAGCTCAGTGCTTTGTGACCACCTAGAAGGGTGGGATAGGGATTGTGGGAGGGAGACACAAGAGGGAGGAGATATGGGGATATTTGTATATGTATAGCTGAACTACTTTGTTATGAAGCAGAAACTAACACACTATTGTAAAGCAATTATACTCCAATAAAGATGTTTCAAAAAAAGAAATCAGTAAAATATGTAATAAATTATATAATGTTAAGTGCTAAGGAAAAAAAAAATAAAGCAGAGAAAGGGTATAGGAAATCTGAGAAAGGAATGGAATTTTAAATTGAGTGGCCAAGAAAGGCCTCAGTGAGAAGGGACATTTGGATTAATTCCTGAGAAGTGGAGGAGCTAGTTCTGTGGGCTTAAGGCCAGGGTGGGTGCTGGGGGTGGGGGGGTGGGGCATTCCAGTCAGGGGAGGTCCCAAATTGCATTGGTCATGAGGTGAGACAGTGCTTGGCATAGCTGACGAATATCTAGGAGGCCAGCGTGTCTGGAGTAGACCAAGCAGGAGAGCAGTGGGAGATGAGCCCAAAGAGATGGCAGTAGGCTAGGTCCTAAAGGACCTCATAGGTAAGAAAGGAAGCCATTGAAGTGTTTTTCACAGAGAACTGACATTATCTGACTTTTTAGCAGGATCATGCTGGCCACTGAGTTTTGAGAGTAAAGTGAAGAGGGCAAGAGTGGAAACATGGGGTTCATTTAGGAGGCTACAGTTATAATCCAGACAAAAGCTGGTGGTGGCTTGAGCCAGACAAGTGGCAGTGATGATAGTGAGAATTGGCTGGATCCTGGATATATTCTGAAAATAGTGTTCACAGGATTTTCTGACAAACTAGGATGTGGGGTTATGCACTATCTGTGATACTGTCAAATTTCCATCGTATGCTCCTAATTGGTGAAAAAGATACAAATTCTCACTTGTTCTGTCATTTTTAGAGTATGATGTTCCCTGACATAACTTCAACTTTCCTTTTGTTCCTGTGTTTGCAAACACATCCCACAATTATTTTTATGTCCTATCTCAACCTTGAGGAACGATAAAGAGAAAATGTGGCTTTGAAAATTGACAGTGCCAATGCTATCTTATGAGTTTCTTAACTGTAAGCTCCAGCCTTATTTCATTTCCCTTGTTGATGTTCTCAAGGCCTCAGAACCTTGCACCCGTTAGGCTCTCAGAAAATGTTCGTTAAATGGTATAGTCACCACATTTCCCACGCAATAATGAACAAAAACAACAATCAGCCCCTGTCAACTGCACAATCATAAAGTTTGTATTTTAGTATTTAGTATATTATGCCGGGGTACTCACTGGGTAAATGTAGTTGAGCTTCCAGCACCTTCATTACTACCACTTGCAATCTGAAGTTGTGTTAGCTTTTTTGCACCTGGAAAGGTAACTAAAAGGCGGAGGAGACTGGTTTTGTAATTCGCATCTGGGACTGAGTGTCACGCCACCTGTCTCTTGTAAAATCTGCTGAGGAGTTAACGCCATGTTGAACAGCGCACAAATGTCTACGGGGATGATCAGTCAAAATGCGTCTATACGAAAGGCTAGAGACCCGACCCTCTCCCAGGGCCCAGCCCACAAGCTCCCGAGGCACGGGCCTGCGCTGTGCACTCCGGGAGTTGTAGTTCCTCCTGTGTTCATGCGAGCCAGGACACAGTATCTCTGGCGCCTCCAACGGCGCGCAGGCTCCGTGAAGCGCGGCGCACGCGGACGGCACGCGTTTCCTAGCAACGGGGGAGCGGCAACGTCACGCCGGCGGGCGCTAAGAGCAGCTGCCCGGTGTTGGGCGGCTTTGAGTACCTTTCAGCACCTGCGGTTTGGAGGGGACGCCGCTTGCAGCTCTTCGTCGGCACGTCTCCGTCCGTCCTTACCCGCCTTAACCTGCACCCGGTCGCCGAGAGCAACGTTGCTCCGCAACCCCGCGTCTGAGGCACGGCCGGAGGCTAGAGGCGGCCCGCCGGGTTCCTGTCTGGCCCTCGCCCCCAGCGCCCGCGGAGCCCGCCGCCCGCGGCCTCAGCGGGACGATGCTGGAGTCCATTCGCGTGACGGGTGAGTGCCAGGAAGGGTGGCCCCTGAGCTGGCGGGAGCGACCAGCGTCGTCCCGGCCGCTTGCGGCGAGTACCCGGAGGCCGAGGTGACGGTAGCATGTGGGCTTCGGTGCACAACGCAGCGCCCTGAACAGTGCGGAACGCGCGGAAGGTGCTCAGGGAAAAGGTGTGCAGGGAAGAGAGAAAACGGTCCCTTTTCCTTTTGTCACTTATTATCAGTAAGCGTGTGCTGTGGACTGTAGTGAGGTAAAGTGTAATAGATCGGCCCTACAAATGTACAATCTAAATATTGTTAAATTCTGTTTCAAGGGTTATTAGATATGTAATTAGGCATTGTAGTGCACTAGGATCTAGCTTTCTAGAATGTTCAGAAGTCAGAGCTAAGCAAAAGAGCACATCTCTATATATCAGTACTTATACTCTTTTTCTGTATGTATGCTTTTATTCTTAAATCAGAATGTTTTGAGTTGATATTAAGAGGTCACTTTATAGTAAGTATTATACCAAGCGCAAAAAATGTTTGTTTAGACCCCAGGTCAGAAAGTTGTTTGCCTTTTGTTATTTTTAGAAAATAACTGTGTATATTAATCATTTAAAAATTGTCTTACACAATATTAGAATAATTTCCTAGGCCATTTTCCCGTCATTTGATTCTGCCTAACATTCCTGCAGGACAGCGTTCTTGATAACCTAGTATTATGACTAAAAACACCGAAGAACAGCAGAGTAAAGGGAAAGGTCTAATCTTGAAACTGGCTTCAAAATAAGACCAGATTTTTTTACTTTAAGGCATCGCTGTACCTAATAGACCATTTTTCTGCAAAATTTTAAATTGTATAACGAAATTCACTTTTTTTTTTTTTTTTTTTTTTTTTTT